ATCGGGGATCTCGAGTGCGATTTCCGGCACGTCTATGCGTACTTCTTTCCGTTTGGGCAGGCTAGCACCAAGTTCGACCTCTGACTCCCTTTCCGCTACCATAACACCTAGGACTTCGTCCTCCTGCCTCCTCTTCTTCTGGGGCAGGCCCATCTTGATCCACTCCTTTTTGTTGAATGCTTCCTCAATCATGATTTCTACCCTTTCTCTCATACCCTCCATCCGTGCGAAAGCCCCTTTCTGGGTGTTATCCTCGAACCACGGCGACCATGTTGCCAATTTTCCCTTCGGGGGGTCTCCTCCCGTTCCAAGGAGTCAAATGAGCTCTCCCCGGCCGGTCACAGGGTCCTCTATGTCTACCATGTACGAGCCATCGTGCAAGTGCATGCCTATCATCTCTACGTTCGCGCACCATGGTCTCCCGAGGATTATGTCGTGGTCCATTTCCTCCATTACGGTCATCCGCTGAAACGACCAGATCGATTCCCTGACCCCTGCCTTCACAGCACACTTCGTGACGTACCCAGTGAACGGGATTTTCATGTCATCTCCCCGGATGCTCCTTGTTACTTCCTTGTTTACCGTACATCCCGTGATCGTTGCAAAATCTTTCCTTATGAGAGTGATTTCTGCTCCCCCGTCTACTAATGCGTCGGTGTGATGATTCCCGATCTGGATTTTCAATTTCCCTACGGGTAGCGCATGAAAGCTAAGCTTCGTCCCGGGTGGCGATCTCATGACTTCGCCGCCCTCTCGGTCGGGCAAGCTCAAACGAATGTCTGCAAAGGCCTTCTCGAGATCCTCGAAGTCCCCGCGACTCCTTTGCAGGTTAGCCACTTCTTGCGGAACTTCCTCCTCCCTCTCCCCTTCTGGTAATTCGGGGTTGTTGCCTATTTCTACTCGCCGGCGGGTCAACAGTTGTCTAAGCCCTTTGAGCAACCTAGGGCTAGCCTGCAGCATAGTCTGAAAAGACACCGACACCATGGTTCCTAGTAACTTGCTAATGGTGTCGTCGATTTCTGGCAAGGATAAAATCGGGATTTGGTACCTAAACTTCTTCTTGGCAGCGGTAACTTTGTCGGCAGGCTCCTCTTCCCTAGGTTTCCCATAGACTTTTTCCGGTTCCTCGGCCTCAGACTCTGCCTGGGGTTCCGAACTTCCAACAACCTCCTCCATCACGGTGTTGCGGTTAATCCTTCTCCCAGTCGTCCCTAGCCGAGTAGTCGCGTTCACCCTATCACGTCCGTCGTTTTCCAAGATAAAATTTGCCTGCGGTCCGCGCCCCCGGCGTTGATCCCAGATGATCTCGCCCACCGGTTCGGCTTCTACGGCTATTATTTCTAGCCCCGTTGAGCATGATAATGGCTCGCCGCATCCCTCCTGGTGAGTTTCAGTTCACTCGTTCCCCTTGTGGTCCAAATATCTCCCCCTTTAATGACCTGGTACACCTTCGTTTTTTAATATCATGGTTGAGCTTTGGGCACGCGCGCACATAATGTCCTATCGCGGTACAGTACTTGCATTGCTCGTTAGCGGGATCTCTCCGTCCGAATCCACGATTGGCCACCCCTGGCGGAACTACTGCTTCCTGGGGCGGGAGGGGGGGACGGGATACTTGCGCCTGCATAACTAGTAACGCGCTCTCCATCCTTTCAATCTTGTTATCGACTCCGTGCACCCGTTCGTATAGGCTTTCAATCCCCTTTTTCACCTTGTCGCCTGTCCTACTCGTCAAGTCTATAATCTCCCCTTCCTTAAGCAAGGTCAATGTCTCGGTAACTACCGTCTTTTCGACCAGATCCGTTACCGTACTGAAATCAACGTCCCTGGTGTTTACAAATTTGCTCGTCTATTGGTAAGCCGACAGGATCTTGTCCTTGTCGAACTCGGAGAACTCTCTGAGGAAATACTTACTCATTGTTCGATCCGTAACCCCGGGGATTCTTAGTGCTACCAAGGTAAACTTCCGTAGGAAGTCATTCTACGTTGCGAAGTTCTTTCTCTGGACTGCAGCTAAATCGGCCTCCGTTGCCACCTTTTCTGCTGCCAGATACTTTCTCATCATCACATCCCGGGTTTCTTTCCAAGACCGGCTCGCGGCTACGATGGCCATTATGTCTCGTCCTAGGCTCAAAGACACATGCTGTCCCAGGTGGTCTATCCTCTCCTCTTCGGTCCATTTCAACAGCGCAGCCAGGTTCTCGTAACCTATCAGGAATTTCGTGATGTTCGCCCCATCAAACGTCAACTTTTTCTTAGCATCCGCTAGGTAGCCTTGATTTTTGTTTAGTGCTCGCGCGAGGGACGACACTATGTTCTTAAGGCCGCCCTCGGAGCTGCTGGCCTCGCCTGTCACACTATTATCCGGACCTTCCTTGCCGGCCTTCTGTCCCTCCCTGGTTTTCGTAGTTCCTTCTGGGTCAAACCATCCCAACACTCTTTCCCTAAGGCTCCAGAGTCCTTCGCACCCTCGCGTCACTGCTGGCGTGGTCGGCAGGTGGCTAGCCCTACTATCTATGGCTGGCGGGGTCGTAGCCTTTTTCGCGTCCATCCCCGGAGAGTTCTCCCCTTCTTTCCTTCTTTTGCTCGGCGTTCCCCCACGGTCACTACCTTTACCCCCTTGTCCAGTCCCACCTCGGCCGGTTCTCCGTTCGTCCCGGGGTTCCTCCTGCATTGAACCTTCTTCGTTCCCAGTCATCATTTCCTCAATCAATCTCGCCTTGTATTCCGCAGTCCTTTTGTCTATCTCGGCTAGTCTGCGCCTCGTATCCGTGACTCTTACTTTCTTAGACACGACTCCCTCCGAGTTCCCGGGGTTTGTCCTATCCTTATTCCTGCCTTCCTTGGTCCCCTGAGTCCCCTGCCTGCTTCCCCCAGCTTTCCCCGAGCTTTCCCCTGTGGAGATCTCCTTCCGGTTCCCTTTGGTACCATCCGGGTTTATCGATTCTCTGTCCTTCTACCCCCCTTCGCTTTGTGCGGCACTGCCTCCTAAGCCCGGTTCTTCTTCACTCTTATGATTATCTGTCTCCTCCTCCGTTGCCATTTTGCCTAGTTCTGCATAAGCCAAAGAATTCCCAGGACACACGCAATACGAGGTATTTTAGGTTTCCTAGGCTCCCAGCCATGTTGGCTTATCTGTATAGCCTCCTTTCCCATCCTCGTTTCCTGATTGCCCTTCCTTAAGGAGGGGCCACGACTGGGCGGTAGCCGAGCTATGAACGTGACTGGCTTCCTTTATCACAAGCCCGTTTGTAGTGCCCTTGTCCCTTCGGCCGACGTGAGGGAGTCCGGGCTAGGCATCCTGCTAGGGGAAGCCTTCCCGAGCAGCGTTTCCCGTTTTTTTCCCCTCCGGGTTATGGTCACTCATTAGGAGTCTACCCCCTTCTTTGTTTTTCTAGTCGGTTTTAGCCATCCGGGTCCGAGGCCCCTTTCTTATTCCCATCGGTGGATTTCCGTACGCAGGGAACTATATTGGACCTGCCCTATTGGTCTGCCTGCGGATCCTAGTCTCGCTCGCGCCCTCGTGGTTCTTCCGGTTCGGTCGGCTCCTCGAATAGCTCAGCCACCCCCGTTAGATAATTCTCCCCTATCTCGATTTCCCTTTGGATTATGCGTTCGTGCCCTGACTGGTCTAGCCAGGGTGCACGAAATATCAGGATATGGATGACTTCCAGTAACTCGTGGGCCTTGTTTCCCCAGAACGGCCCATGCCTCATGGCGACAACATAGAACATCCCGATGGTTAGAGAGGGAAAGTGGTCTGCCCACATTATTGCCGAGTCTGCCAGCTCTCGCGCCCTTGCGAGGCTCCCGAAGACGAGATCTATCATAAAACGGGGAACCCGGCACCTCAGCGGTGTGGTTGGTGCTCTGAACTCACGCCATCCCCCCATTTCCACCCGGGTAAGTAAGCCCACGTTCCTTCTACCCCTGACTGATTGTCCTATCCGGGTCAGCGTCCGGGCGGCCCTTTGAAAAACCGGCGCCAGCTCGTGACCTTGTGCTATCTCTACCCCCAACGAGTGCCAGCCGATCTCAGGCAGATACATGGTCCCAGTAACTTCCAGATTGGAAAACATATCGTCCCCGGGCCCTCGGTCGAGTCTCATCCCTGTCCACCGACATTCTACCAACATGAAGACGGCGTCCCTCCCCAAAGTCACAACCCGCCATTCTATATCGAACCCCCGATAAGTTGAACTCGACGGGAGGGATACTTCCCAGCGCCCACCGTTATTCCACGGCGGTCCGGGGTACCGGGGTTGGCGCGCCATTCGCACACGAGCCTAAAGTTTCATATGCTCGCGTCTTGCTGCCATGGTTGCCTTGGTGATTTCTTGCATGATCCACATAGAAAGTGTTACAGCCAATCCTTAGAAACCGTTCACCTACTGCCCCCTTGCCCTTCGTGTTTTTACACTTTCTTTTGTGGTTCCAACTATCCCTCCACACCTCCGGAAGCAGTAGCCTCTTCTGGCTGTTCGTACAATCGGTACAGGTCGTCTATGTAGGTCGCGCCCCGGCCTACCTCCCGCCGGATGACTCCCCACAAGGCCTCGTCATTTATTTGTGGGACTCCCGGCCTAGTATCTATTGCCGCTCGTAGAATGCAAAACACTTCGCGGCCCTGTTCATCCCCGAAAGGCCCCATCTCTAGAAAGGCCCGATAGTATTCTCGGTACATTAATGCTTCGTCAAAATTTAGCCTCGTTACGACAGTCACCGCCTGCTCCACTCGTTCTATGCCCCCCATTTGTCTTAGCAGGAAGGGCGGTAGACTCATCCGTACGACCTCATTTGGTAGCTCAAAGACCCCTGCTGCAGTGACTTTTACCTCCGCCGTTACGTCATCTCGTCCCGGGTCTGCAAACTCAAACCCCTCCCACTAGGTTATTTGTCATGCCCCTTCAAACATTCGCACGGGGTCATCCCCGGAAGCCAAAGCAATCCCAAAGGTTCGCCATCCCTCTTCCGACAGGTGTAAAGATCCCGTCGCATGTACACGCCCCGGGCGATTTAAGTCTACGCTCCCGAACTCCCCTCTCGCACGTCATTCCAGCTCCACTACTAGGTACATCGTATCTTCCACCAACTCTACCCTCACCCAGTCCATTACTGGATTGCCTACCGTACTTCTTGCCGGCAGGCTTATTTCGACCCTGCCTTCTGACATTCTTGGTGGCAGGATCCCACGAGGTCTATCCTCCCTGAACGTCATTCGCCGGCCCATTTCGCAATGTCTCCTTCCCTGCTTTCTTAGTTTGTTTGCTGCACCCACCGAGATTCCACGCCTTTCGTGTTTTAGTCTTTCAACCGCCCCCCCTACTTATCGTACACTGGTTCTTGTTGCTATCCCGTTTCCATGCCTGCCTTTACTTTGGCCTCCTCGCGTCCCTTGCTGACTAATGTACGTGCCCCTTTCTTATGTTACATCCTAAATCACATGCATCCTCCATACTCCGTCCTTCCCGTGACGCTCGAACTTTGAACCCTTCTAATCAAGCCACCGCACCTCAAACAGCAAAAAGACATCGTCCACATAGGATGGCACGGCCGCCGCCTCCCGGCTAACTATGGCGTCCCAAGCTTTCGCGCTTACTTCTAAGCGGTCATACTTGCCTATTCTTAGGACTATGATGACTTCCTCGGCTTTATCTCCGTAGAAGGGCCCATATTTCAATGAGAGCCTATAGAACTCCTCAGTCAACCAGGCACACTCTATATACACCCTTCTCATGGAGTCGGCTACTTCTAAAATGTGCTCAAACCCCCCAAACCACTCGGCTATGAATTCCGGTACCCAAACCATTATCCGTAGACTTGGAGGTTTGAGTCCTTCCATCCTCCCATCACAACCCTGCTACTAACTTCGTCCCATCCCTCGTTGGCGAACAGCTTGCCTTCCTTTCGGGTTCGGGCCTCTGCATCCCCTAGAAGCCACATCGGGTCCTGTCCCATTGCTAACATGGTGCAAAACAAGTGCCATCCATCCTCGGAAAGGATAGTCGTTCCAACTGGCTCTACCTTGCCTTCTGCTATATCATCCCATCCTTCCTCTTCCCTTATCGGGTTCCAAATCCGCTCTATCCATACATATGACAAGTCTTGGGTAACCTCAAACCCAATCCAATCGCACGTGGTCCCTCTCCATCCGTTCCCTTTTGGTATAGGCATTTCTATTCCTCCTCTGAGTCGTCGTGGTTCCCAGCCTTTGAAGGGGTATTCCATCATCCTTTCTTCTCTAGTCATCTTCCCCTTTCCTGCACAATACCAGGTCACCCGTCCTCCCTAAGTTAAGTTTCCCCACTCTTCTCAGAAGTCCCAA